CTGCTATCCTATTCTCCGTCTTACTCTTAATTCTTTCAATTATAACTCTACCATACACTTTACCAGGTACACTCAACAGACTTATCCCCCTATAATTTTTGCACTCTCTTTTATCCCCTTTGCCTTTATACAAAGGAACTATGCATGCTCTCTGCCAATCCCTAGGTACCTTACCCTCTTCCATACATTTATTAAATAATTGCACCAACCACTCCAAAACTATATCCCCACCTGCTTTTAACATTTCTATCTTTATCCCATCAATCCCGGCTGCCTTACCCCCTTTCATTTTACCTACTGCCTCACGAACTTCCCCCACACTCACAACTGGCTCTTCCTCACTCTACAAGATGTTATTCCTCCTTGCCCTATACACGAAATCACAGCTTCCCTATCTTCATCAACATTTAACAATTCCTCAAAATATTCCCTCCATCTTCCCAATACCTCTAACTCTCCATTTAATAACTCTCCTCTCCTATTTTTAACTGACAAATCCATTTGTTCTCTAGGCTTCCTTAACTTGTTAATCTCACTCCAAAACTTTTTCTTATTTTCAACAAAATTTGTTGATAACAGCTCACCCACTCTCTCATTTGCTCTCTTTTTACATTGCTTCACCACTCTCTTAACCTCTCTCTTTTTCTCCATATACTCTTCCCTCCTTGCATCACTTCTACTTTGTAAAAACTTCTCATATGCTAACTTTTTCTCCCTTACTACTCTCTTTACATCATCGTTCCACCAATCGCTCCTCTTCCCTCCTGCACCCACTTTCCTGTAACCACAAACTTCTGCTGAACACTCTAACACTACATTTTTAAACCTACCCCATTCCTCTTCGACCCCATTGCCTATGCTCTCATTAGCCCATCTATCCTCCAATAGCTGTTTATATCTTACCCTAACTGCCTCCTCTTTTAGTTTATAAACCTTCACCTCTCTCTTCCCTGATGCTTCTATTCTCCTTGTATCCCATCTACCTTTTACTCTCAGTGTAGCTACAACTAGAAAGTGATCTGATATATCTGTGGCCCCTCGATAAACATGTACATCCTGAAGTCTACTCAACAGTCTTTTATTTACTAATACATAATCCAACAAACTACTGTCATTTCGCCCTACATCATATCGTGTATACTTATTTATCCTCTTTTTCTTAAAATATGTATTACCTATAACTAAACCCCTTTCTATACAAAGTTCAATCAAAGGGCTCCCATTATCATTTACACCTGGCACTCCAAACTTACCTACCACACCCTCTCTAAAAGTTTCTCCTACTTTAGCATTCAGGTCCCCTACCACAATTACTCTCTCACTTGGTTCAAAGGCTCCTATACATTCACTTAACATCTCCCAAAATCTCTCTCTCTCCTCTGCATTCCTCTCTTCTCCAGGTGCATACACGCTTATTATGACCACTTCTCGCATCCAACCTTTACTTTAATCCACATAATTCTCGAATTTACACATTCATATTCTCTTTTCTCCTTCCATAACTGATCATTTAACATTACTGCTACCCCTTCCTTTGCTCTAACTCTCTCAGATACTCCAGATTTAATCCCATTTATTTCCCCCCACTGAAACTCTCCTACCCCCTTCAGCTTTGTTTCGCTTAGAGCCAGGACATCCAACTTCTTTTCATTCATAACATCAGCAATCATCTGTTTCTTGTCATCCGCACTACATCCACGCACATTTAAACAACCCAGTTTTATAAAGTTTTTCTTCTTCTCGTTTTTAGTAAATGTATACAGGAGAAGGGGTTACTAGCCCATTGCTCCCGGCATTTTAGTCGCCTCATACGACACGCATGGCTTACGGAGGAAAGATTCTTTTCCACTTCCCCATGGACAATAGAAGAAATAAAAAAGAACAAGAGCTATTTAGAATAAGGAGAAAATCCTAGATGTATGTATATATATATATGCATGTGCGTGTCTGTGAAGTGTGACCAAAGTGTAAGTAGGAGTAGCAAGATATCCCTGTTATCTAGCGTGTTTATGAGACAGAAAAAGAAAAAGAATCCTTCACTAAATATTACCCTGCTCACACTCCAACAGATCGTCAGGTCCCAAGTACCATTCGTCTCCATTCACTCCTATCTAACACGCTCACGCACGCTTGCTGGAAGTCCAAGCCCCTTGCCCACAAAACCTCCTTTACCCCCTCTCTCCAACCCTTTCGAGGACGACCCCTACCCCGCCTTCCTTCCCCTATAGATTTATATACTTTCCATGTCATTCTACTTTGATCCATTCTCTCTAAATGACCAAACCACCTCAACAACCCCTCTTCTGCCCTCTGACTAATACTTTTATTAACTCCACACCTTTTCCTAATTTCCACACTCCGAATTTTCTGCATAATATTTACACCACACATTGCCCTTAGACAGGACATCTCCATTGCCTCCAACCGTCTCCTCGCTGCTGCATTTGCCACCCAAACTTCACACCCATATAAGAGTGTTGGTACTACTATACATTCATACATTCCCTTCTTTGCCTCCATAAATAACGTTTTTTGACTCCACATATACCTCAACGCACCACTCACCTTTTTTCCCTCATCAATTCTATGATTAACCTCATCCTTCATAAATCCATCCGCTGACACGTCAACTCCCAAGTATCTGAAAACATTCACTTCTTCCATACTCCTCTTCCCCAATTTGATATCCAATTTTTCTTTATCTAAATCATTTGATACCCTCATCACCTTACTCTTTTCTATGTTCACTTTCAACTTTCTACCTTTACACACATTCCCAAACTCATCCACTAACCTTTGCAATTTTTCTTTAGAATCTCCCATAAGCACAGTATCATCAGCAAAAAGTAACTGTGTCAATTCCCATTTTGAATTTGATTCCCCATAATTTAATCCCACCCCTCTCCCGAACACCCTAGCATTTACTTCTTTTACAGCCCCATCTATAAATATATTAAACAACCATGGTGACATTACACATCCCTGTCCAAGACCTACTTTTACCCTAACCTGAGCCTCACTATCCTCATAAAAACTCTTTACAGCATTTAGTAACTTACCACCTATTCCATATATTTGCAACATCTGCCACATTGCTCCTCTATCCACTCTGTCATATGCCTTTTCTAAATCCATAAATGCAATAAAAACTTCCCTACCTTTATCTAAATACTGTTCACATATATGCTTCAATGTAAACACTTGATCTACACATCCCCTACCCACTCTGAAACCTCCTTGCTCATCCGCAATCCTACATTCTGTCTTACCTCTAATTCTTTCAATTATAACCCTACCGTACACTTTTCCTGGTATACTCAGTAAACTTATTCCTCTATAATTTTTACAATCTCTTTTGTCCCCTTTCTCTTTATATAAAGGGACTATACATGCTCTCCGCCAATCCCTAGGTACCTTTCCCTCTTTCATACATTTATTAAACAAAAGTACCAACCACTCCAACACTATATCCCCCCCTGCTTTTAACATTTCTGTCATGATCCCATCAGTTCCAGCTGCTTTACCCCCTTTCATTCTACGTAATGCCTCACGTACCTGCCTCACATTTACATTCTGCTCTTCTTCACTCCTAAAAGATGGTATACCTCCCTGACCAGTGCATGAAATTACTGCCTCTGTTTCTTCCTTAACATTTAAAAGTTCCTCAAAATTTTCTCGCCATCTACCTAATACCTCCATCTCCCCATCTACTAACTCCCCTACTCTGTTCTTAACTGACAAATCCATACTTTCCCTAGGCTTTCTTAACTTGTTTAACTCGCTCCAAAATTTTTTCTTATTTTCATTAAAATTTCTTGACAGTGCCTCTCCCACTCTATCATCTGCTCTCCTTTTGCACTCTCTCACCACTCTCTTCACCTTTCTTTTACTCTCCATATATTCTGCTCTTCTTATAACACTTCTGCTTTGTAAAAACCTCTCACAAGCTAACTTTTTCTCTTTTATCACACCCTTTACTTCACCATTCCACCAATCACTCCTCTTTCCTCCTGCCCCCACCCTTCTATAACCACAAACTTCTGCCCCACATTCTAATACTGCATTTTTAAAACTATTCCAACCCTCTTCAACCCCCCCACTACTCATCTGTGCACTAGCCCACCTTCCTATATTTACAATAATGGGTTGCAATGCAAAGAGAGCCTCTATTATGATTCAGTCACACCTTCACTCTTAGTCTCACTTCCTCTCCCTTTCCTGTCAGTGTCACCTTGTCTCTCTGCCCTCATATTCTCACTTCCCATCTCCTCTCTCGCTCTCACTTTCAATCCCAGTCTCATCTTCCCTCTCAACAGTTTTAATATATATAATTCTGTATTTTAATCTAAAAAACAAAGCATTAACTTGAAAATATTGAAATTAATTTTTGACTCTTTACAAATTCCTGCTTATGATTAAGATATCTCATAAATTGGAAACCCGAAAACTAGAAAGGTAAAACACATGTAGCAAAGTGGTCCTTTTACTAGGTGATGTTTCACCTTAAATAGAGCTTTATCAAGTTCACTACAGAACTTGATACAACTGAGACTTTAGCAACACATTGTTTAATAAAGGTGGATCTTTCTAAGTGTTTTTGTTTTATCCAGTTTCATAAGTTTATATTGAGTATTTTTTTTAACACGTCTGCCGTTTCCCACCAAGGCAGGGTGACCTTAAAAGAAAGAAAAAACTTTCATCATCATTCAACATTTTCACTATCACTCATACATAATCACTGTATTTACAGAGGTGCTCAGATACAACAGTTTAGATATCCCTCCAAACTGCCAATATCCCAGACCCTTCCTTTATAGTGCAGGCATTGTACTTCCCATTTCCAGGACTCAAGTCCAGCTATATAAAAATAACTGGTTTCCCTGAATCCCTTCACAAAATATTACCCTGCACACATTCCAACAGCTCATCAGGTCCTAAAAACCATTCGTCTCCATTCACTCCTATCTAACACATTTAAATGTTATATTTTTTTTTACTAGATATGGGGTGACAGGCCACTTAAGGAAATTTTAGAAGATGCACTGACCACTGGGTGTGTGAAGTCTTCAGAATGTTATCTTCGGCTGAAGCCTTGGGTGTATGGTACAGTTACCACAACTACTGTTATTGCCACTTGCATTGATATTGCAAGAGAAAAATCATCAGAAGAATCTCAGCTCCAAGTTATGCTAAATATTGTAAGTTTCTACTTCAAGTTTTGCAGTTGCAAATTTTTTAGGATAAAGTTTAAAACTTTAGAAACATTGATGGAGTAAACACTGAGACAAATTTAACATTGCAAGATGTTTAACAAGTGACTGAAAAGCATTCTGTTTTTCACCTCATTGAAATAAGAAAGCCTGACTGCTCTTACTTGTTGAGAATATCAGTTATTAATTTTCAGGATAAAGACTACAATGAAGTACTGAGACAGATTCTGCACTCGAGTGATGACCTATTTGAGGTCCTCTTTATAGGAAGAGTGTTGGACATGAGAGGTCAACTTAATGTTGTTGAAACACTGGCAGTAAAGCTGGTAGTGACCATTCATAAAACACTGCCAGATCTTCTCACTCTTCCACCTCAGTAAGTCTATATATTTATTTTATTTTTTTTAAACACTAGCCATCACCCACCAAGGTAGGGTGATCCATATAAGAAGCAACACTTTCACCATCATTCACTGAATCACTGTCTTGCCAGCGGTGCACCAGTACTGCAGCTCAAATGCCACTCCAAATTGCTGATATCCCCACCCCTCCTTCAGAGTGCAGGCACTATACTGTAATGTCCATTATTTTTAAAAGTATTATAGGAGATGTCTTTCAGTTTTATAAAAGGAATATCTAGCTGTTTCCCACCAAGGTAGGCAGGATGACCCAGGGAAACAAATCACATTCACCATCACTTTCAGACTACTGTACTAGCAATGTGTACTTCCCAATCTCTGAAACCATATGATCCATCTAGCATATTTAGCAAGAGTCCCTTAACCCAATCATTGTATGAGATACTGTGGTCAGTACAAAAGCTGCCACTGTATTTTCCTGCTACTCATTTGATTTGTATTTGCATTTTTGCACTTCAGTTATATTTCACATGTTGCTAGCAACACTAGTTCACCAGTAGAAACAAAGATTTGTTTAACACACGGGCTGTCTCCTACTGAGGAGGTTTTTCAATTATATTTCAATTAATTCTGAAATACAGTGGAAAGAGAGGTCTTGGCACATCATACGATCACAAAATCAGTTACAAATAATGAAATAAAAACTGTTATGGTGCAGTATTTGTGCAACACATCCAGTGAAGATGAATATGATACATAATACGCAAAAATTAAAACCTTAGATTTTTGTTTCACTACACCTGGAGTATACCTGGAGAGGGTTTTGGGGGTCAACACCCCCGCAGCCCAGTCTGTAACCAGGCCTCATGGTGGATCAGGGCCTGATCAACCAGGCTATTACTGTTGGCCGCATGCAATCCGACGTACAAACCATAGCCCGGCTGGTCAGGTACTGACTTTAGGTGCCTGTCCAGTGCCTGCTTGAAGACAGCCAGGGGTGTATTGGTAGTCTCCCTTATGTATGATGGGAGGCAGTTGAGCAGTCTTGAGCCCCTGACACTTATTGTGTTGTCTCTTATCGTGCTAGTGGCGCCCCTGCTTTTCATTGAGGGGATGTTGCATCATCTGCTGAGCCTTTTGGTTTCATAGGGAGTGATTTTCGTGTGCAAGTTTGGTACTAATCCCTCTAGGATTTTTCAAGTGTATATAATCATGTATATCTCCCTCCTGCATTCTAGGGAGTACAGGTTGAGGAACTTCAGTGTTCCTAGTAATTGAGGTGTTTTATCACCTGCCTTGAAAGGTGCTGTTAGTGTGCAGCAATATTCCAGTCTAGATAAAACAAGCGACCTGAAGAGTGTCATTATGGGCTTGGCATCCCTAGTTTTGAAAGTTCTCATTATCCATCCTGTCATTTTTCTAGCAGATGCGATTGATACAATGTTATGGTCTTTGAAGGTGAGAGCCTCTGACATGATCACTCCAAGGTCTTTTACATTAGTTTTTTGCTCTGTTGTGTGGTTGGAATTTGCTTTATACTCCAATATAATTTAAAACAAATTCCAACCATACAATAGAGCGAAAAACTAATGTAAAAAACCTGAGAGTGATCATGTTAGAGGATCTCACATTCAAAGATCATAACATTGTATTAATTGCATCTGCTAGAAAAATGACAGGATGGATAATGAGAACCTTCAAAACTAGGGATGCCAAGCCCATAATGACACTCTTCAGGTCGCTTGTTTTATGTTTAGAAACAAAGATAGGTCAGTTATATTGAAACAGTGTAGAATGGACCTAGTATGTAACATCATCATCAGAGATGAAAGCTGATATAATTACAATTTTACTGGGTAAGGGAAATGAGTAACACATCTGATTGAATGAGCACAAATAATAAATAGATTCTGCCATGATATCATCATGTAAATATTTTACATAAAAAGAACTGACATTGTTATAACATCATAAATGTTTCTTATATTCATTTGGATTACTTTTATTTTATGTCTTGATTGTCTTTGTGTACATTTTATTTTGTGTATTTTAGTTTATTTTATATTTTTCTCTTCAGGGGGGTTCGTTGATGCATGTGAGGGGCTCTTGATCTAAGGAATTAAAGCTACCTCCCCTTCCTTGAATCAACCATGATTGCCTACTATAACACAGGCACTGTATAACCCTTGTATAATAATAATAATATTGACATGATACATTGTTGTACAAAGGAATACAACAGTTGGGTGTCGGTGTGTTAAAGACTAAATAAATAAAATTTACTCGTCCCTTGGGATTTGCTCATGGTAGAGATATATATAAGTGAAAGGCTTGATAGTTATACTACTAGCACTTATGTCTACTCATTCTGATTTAATGCTCATATATGCCTACTGGATTAGCATTTTTTTCACATGCCTTTTTCCAACACTCTTGCAGACTTATATAATGAAAATTATATAGGCATTTTACCAGTCTGTTTTGTTCTGTTTTTTTATACACGGCTAAACATCTACCAGGAAGTTGCTGTCCTGTTCGTATAGTGATTCATGGAACCTTACAGAGAAAGCTGCCTTTTGTACTTTGTATTATGGAGGTCTTTTCTTTAGAACCTTTCCAGAAACAGTAATGTATAACTTTCTGATATATGATAATTGCAGTTTATCAAATATGTATATGTATTCTCTCATTGTTAATGCTGTAATATACTGTGGTACTCTTTCATATGTTAATAGGAGGTGGGCAGATTTGGTGGCTATGGATGAATCTTCATCTGCACTTGTGTCAGCTCCAGTGACAGTGGGTCAAGTAACACTTTGGACACCACTAGCCATAATGCTCATTATCACTGATCTTTATGCATATACTGGAGGTCAGTCTAGCTACTTTGTGCCATTTAAAAACTTACTGTATTTTCCTATAATGTGGGGTGGTCATATTTTGTGGGGGTTATATCTGAATATGCATGTGCATAGATGTACATGTACACAAGAACTATTAATTACAAAAGATTTATTTCCTTTTTTTTTTTTTTAACTTTGACAGATCCAGAGATTCTGGAGGATGTGGATGCTGATGTTAGATGGAGATATCTTCTCTATCAGCATGACCTCAATAACCTAAAAAGATGGATCTTCATGGAATTTTGTGGGCAGGAAGTGGATCTTTGTGAAGGAAACCAAGTACAAAATGAAGATCTTATATTGTTGGATCTCAATATTAGGTTACAGAAGGGACTGCAAGCAAGGTCAAGCATCTCAGAAAAACAAGCCACTGAGAAATATGAGAATATGCCAGAATCAAAATACTCAGGATTTACTTTGCTCAGTAGCCCTCTATATGCCAGTGATGTGGAGTCTTCTGTCAAGTCTCATGATTCGGTAGATTCTTCTTCTGTAGGTCCTGGTGATGAGGATTCTTGGAGTGTGCAGAGCTTTGAGACTCATGATCGCAGGGGCACAGTGTGGATGAAACAACTCTTTAAGCCAATAACTAAATATATGGTTGATCTGGTGGCAATTGCTAAAGAGCCATTTGCAGAAATGGTGCTGAATGTTTTAGCCAGATGTAGAGTCTTCATGACTAGTGAAAAAACTAGAGCTGAGCTACTCTTAAGACGGTTGCTCATGTCAGGGACTTTTGAGATGATCACTGATTTCAGTGGGGATCATCCATGCCAAATCTCAGACAGTGACATTCATACAATAATCATGGAGTATTTTGGAGATCATGATCTTTTATTGCCAGCTTATGATTATATTCAAAGCTTCTTGGATGCCTCTGAGAGCAGAACTATGGAAAAATTGAGATTACCATCTTGGGCTAACACAGTTGTACCCTTCATGAAGCTTTTGAAAGCCAAATCAAAGAAAGTTGTTTATGACTTGAGTTTAAAAAACCTTGCAGTTCTTAGTGACACTTGTAAAGCTCCCCAAGAACTTCAGTTCCCAGCTTTTCTTACCATGCTCTTTGCTCCTACCCAGAAATTGCAGGATTTTATTAATTTTAGTGCATGCACAAACAATGAGACTAGTGATGAAACAGACGAGATATATTCACTTTGCACTATTCTTGCCAAGCACAATATGTCTCCTAAACAAGTGATAGAGGGCGTTGCACAGAATTTCCCTTATCTTCAGAAGATGTTCTCAGACAGTGAACGTGGTACATCATTGGATGTTACTATGTATGATCTCTTGTCTGGAACTGTTTCCTTTGACCTGAGCCGGATGTTCACATTTCAGAAGAAGAACAGGTATGTTGCATACATCAATTTTTGCAATGTCGTTATTCAGGGATCATTGGTAGTACGTAGATTGAATCTAAATGGTGTTCCACCAACAAAATAAATAATAAAATAAAAAGGTATATTTTTATTGATCATATGCAGAAGTTGCAGTATTAGATTTACATATCATTTGGCTGCAGTTCTGAAATAATTATAGTACAGATAAAATTTGAAACATTACTGAAGAAAAGTCATTTTAGATCTTCAAGTCATGACTTGATAATGATTTAAAGAGATCAAAATATTCCAATAAAAGCTTCTGCAAAATGTATCTTTTTATTTTTTCCATCATTGTTAACCCTTGCCCAGTTGTCCGACTTGAAAAATGCTTTAATTTTTTGTTTTATTCCTGTCTGACAGGCTTATTAAGTACATTCTGTGGGTTTTCTGGCTCTCCAAACTGGTAGATTTATATTGGTCTCTTCTTGAGACTTTTGGCAAAAGATTGGTTTAATTATTAGTGTTATTCTCAATGATGGACATGTTATGAAAGGCAGATAATACTGAAATTTTTTATTTTTGAATGGAAAGCCTATAATGGGAAATTGTATTTGGTAATACAGTACAATAAGCCTGTTTGATAAACAGCTTAATTAGACTAATTTGTAAATGCTTTCGTTAGATAAAGTTTGGCATACTGTTGCCAATTTTGACTTGATTTAAATTATATAAAGTACTCTATATATTTTTGTGTCACATCTTCCTTGCAGATATGGTTATGATGTCAATGCTGGAATTGCTAGCTTTACTGATGAAGAGTTGGTAAAAAAATATGGTATCCTGCATTCTTTGGAGTATTTGTACTACCTTAGAGAATGTCGACCCACTTATGCATGTGCAGCAATTCTTGCAAGTATCTATATGAACAGAAACAAAAAAAGGTAAGTGCTATTTCCTTTACTTCCTGGTGATTTGCATTAAGAATTATTTTGACATTTTTATTTTTGTTTCTACTTTAATGGCCATCTCCTGGCGAGGCAGGGTAACCCAAAGAAGAAAAGAGATTCACCATCATTCATTCAATCTCTGTCTTTCCAGAAACATACTGACATAATATTGTTAGCCCTGTTTGGTAAAAGGACACCTAACATTTTATTGTGGCAACATTTTACTCTCCAGGAGCTTTGTCAAGCTGTTACAAACAATAAAAGGACACAGAGGGTGTATATATACATATTACAGTGAGATGTAAAAGCATAGTAAGAACATAAGAATGGAGGAACACTTGCCCATACAAGGCAAGTCCTTCTCAAAACCAAACATTCCCAGGTTGGTAATAGTAGGGAATGGTTGGTCTTGAAAAGGACTTGCCTTGTCAATATTTTGATCAGCTCCTCATTAACAATGGTGTTGAGGGTTGCAAGATTAGGGTGAGAGATGACATAAGTCGTGTCGTCAGCAAAGAGAATGAGGTTCAGGTGTCGAGATACGTTTGGAAGATCATTGATGTATATGAGGAAGAGCAGGGGACCAAGGACACTTCCCTGCGGAACTCCAGTATCAAGTGGCTGTGTTGTTGATGCTGTGTCTTTAATGGTGACATACTGATACCTATTAGTAAGGTAAGATTTGAAATATGCAAGCGCATGGCCTCTTATACCATAATGGTCAAGTTTGTGGAGTAGGATGCCGTGGTCTACTGTGTCAAAAGCTTTTCTTAGGTCAATAAAAATTCCTAGTGGATATTCCTTATTTTCCAATGCTGTGTAAAGCAGATCTAGCATTTTTATAATTGCATCGTTAGTGCTTTTATTTTTCCTGAATCCAAATTGGCAGGGGTTGAGTATGTTTTGTGACGTTATAAATGAATATAGTCTCCTGTGCACGAGTTTCTCAAAGATTTTGGATAGCAATGGTAAGTTTAATATTGATCTATAGTTGTTTAAATCTGTAGGGTCACCACCTTTATGTATTGGTGTAACCCTTGCCGTCTTGAGTAGTTTCGGGAAGGTGCTAGCTTCTAGTGACTTGTTAAAAAGCAATGAGATAGTATGCGAGAGGACATGGGCCACTCTCTTGTACAATAATGGTGGGACATGAGACAGATTCCCTGAGTTATTTTTAAGTGACTTTATAATCTCGGTGACTTCCGTGGGCTCAGTTGGAGCAAGATAGAAGGAATTTGGGAAATTCCCATCTAGGTAGTCCCCGGCATGGGCATTGGTACGTGGGATTTTATTGGCGAGATTAGAACCTATGGTTGAGAAGAAGTCGTTTATCTTGTTAGCTGTGTCGGTGGGTTGCAGTGGTGTTTCATTAGGTTTAGTTAGGACAATATTCTTGTTTTTTTTCAGTTTGTGGGTCCCTAGAATCTGAGAGAGTGTTTTCCAGGTTTTCTTATGTTCTTACTATGCTGTTACATCTCACTGTCCTACTGTCAGAGAGTTTAAACAGAATTTCCCAACATGACTACTTACACAGTAATAATAATAATAATAATAATAATAATAATAATAATATTTTTTTTTTATTAACACACTGGCTGATTCCCACCAGGGCAGGGTGGCCCGAAAAAGAAAAACTTTCACCATCATTCACTCCATCACTGTCTTGCCAGAAGGGGTGCTTTACTCTACAGTTTTTAAACTGCAACATTAACACCTCTCCTTCAGAGTGCAGGCACTGTACTTACCATCTCCAGGACTCAAGTCCGGCCTGCCGGTTTCCCTGAATCTCTTCTTAAATGTTATTTTGCTCACACTCCAACAGCACATCAAGTATTAAAAACCATTTGTCTCCATTCACTTCTATCAAACACGCTCACGCATGCCCGCTGGAAGTCCAAGCCCCTCGCACACAAAACCTCCTTTAGCCCCTCCCTCCAACCTTTCCTAGGCCAGCCCCTACCCTGCCTTCCTTCCACTACAGACTGATACACTCTTGAAGTCATTCTGTTTCGCTCCATTCTCTCTACATGTCCGAACCACCTCAACAACCCTTCCTCAGCCCCCTGGACAACAGTTTTAGCAATCCCACACCTCCTCCTAACTTCCAAACTACGAATTCTCTGCATTATATTCACACCACACATTGCCTTCAGACATGACATCTCCACTGCCTCCAGCCTTCTCCTTGCTGCAACATTTATCACCCATGCTTCACACCCATACAGGAGCATTGGTAAAACTATACTCTCATACATTCCCCTCTTTGCTTCTGTGGACAAGTTCTTTGTCTCCACAGACTCCTAAGTGCACAGCTCACCCTTTTCACCTCATCAATTCTATGATTCACCTCATCTTTCATAGACCCATTTGCTGACACGTCCACTCCCAAATATCTGAATACATTCACCTCCTCCATACTCTCTCCCTCCAATCTGATATCCAATCTTTCATCACCTAATCTTTTTGTTATCCTCATAACCTTACTCTTTCCTGTATTCACTTTCAATTTTCTTCTTTTACATACCCTACCAAATTCATCCACCAACCTCTGCAACTTCTCTTCAGAATCACCCAAGAGCACAGTGTCATCAGCAAAGAGCAACTGTGACAACTCCCACTTTTAACTCCACACCTCTTGAGAAAGACCCTCGCATTTACTTCTCTTGCAACCCCATCTATAAATATATTGAACAACCACGGTGACATCACACATCCTTGTCTAAGGCCTACTTTTACTGGGAAATAATCTCCCTCTTTCCTACATACTCTAACTTGAGCCTCACTATCCTCGTAAAAACTCTTCACCTACCTCTACCATATATCTGCAACATCTGCCACATTGCCCCCCTATCCACCCTGTCGTATGCCTTTTCCAAATTCATAAATGCCACAAAAGCCTCTTTAGCCTTATCTAAATACTGTTCACTTATATGTTTCACTGTAAACCCCTGGTCCACACACCCCCTACCTTTCCTAAAGCCTCCGTGTTCATTTGCTATCCTATTTTCCGTCTTACTCTTAATTCTTTCAATAATAACTCTACCATACACTTTACCAGGTATACTCAACAGACTTATCCCCCTATAATTTTTGCACTCTCTTTTGTCCCGTTTACCTTTATACAAAGGAATTATGCATGCTCTCTGCCAATCCCTAGGTACCTTACCCTCTTCCATACATTTATTAAATAATAGCACCAACCACTCCAAAACTGTATCCCCACCTGCTTTTAACACTTCTATCTTTATCCCATCAATCCCAGTTGCCTTACCCCCTTTCATTTTACCTACTGCCTCATGAACTTCCCCCACACTCACAACTGGCTCTTCCTCACTCCTACAAGATGTTATTCCTCCTTGCCCTATACACGAAATCACAGGTTCCCTATCTTCATCAACATTCAACAATTCCTCAAAATATTCCCTCCATTTTCCCAGTACCTCTAACTATCCATTTAATAACTCTCCTCTCCTATTTTTAACTGACAAATCCATTTGTTCTCTAGGCTTCCTTAACTTGTTAATCTCACTCCAAAACTTTTTCTTATTTTCAACAAAATTTGTTGATAACATCTCACCCACTCTTTCATTTGCTCTCTTTTTACATTGCTTCACCACTCTCTTAGCCTCTCTCTTTTTCTCCATATACTCTTCCCTCCTTGCATCACTTCTACTTTTTAAAAACTTCTCATATGCTAACTTTTTCTCCCTTACTACTCTCTTTACATCATCCTTCCACCAATTGCTCCTCATCCCTCCCACACCCACTGTCCTGTAACCACAAACTTCTGCTGAACACTCTAACAGTACATTTTTAAACCTACCCCATACCTCTTTGACCCCATTGCCTATGTTCTCATTTGCCCATCTATCCTCCAATAGTTGTTTATATCTTACCCTAACTGCCTCCTCTTTTAGTTTATAAACGTTCACCTCTCTCTTACCTGATGCTTCTATTCTCCTTGTATCCCATCTACCTTTTACTCTCAGTGTAGCTACAACTAAAAAGTGATCTGATATATCTGTGGCCCCTCTATAAACATGTACATCCTGAAGTCTAATAATAATAATAATAATTTTTTTTTTATTTACGCATTGGCCATTTCCCACCAGACACCAGCCAAGACTGAGTGAGTGGCAAGCAAGCTAGCTAGTGACTCGGCAATTTCCAAGACAAAGCGCTTTGTCATCCACCTCAAGTAACATGTCGAGTGGCTGTACATTTGTAAATATATAATAGAACATTATTAATATACAACATTTTTGCATATTTTTGTTGTAAACAATTATTGTAAACAAAATAATGATGAAAAATATTAGTGTGTTTATTGTATTGAATACTACAGTACCATAATGTACCATATGGTACAATGTACTATATGATATCATTGTAACATATGGTACAATGTACCATATGGTACATTGCACCATAAGGTACCATTGCACCATATGGTACCATTGCACTGTATGGTACCATTGTATCATATGGTACCATTGTACCAAATGGTGCCATTGTACCAAATGGTGCCATTGTACTATATTCTACCATATGGTACCATTGTATCATATGGTACCATTGTATCATGGTACCGTTGTATTCAACACAATAACTGCACTAATATTTTCATCATTTTGTTTACAATAAACTTGTAAACAAGTTTTGTAAGCAATATAATGATAAACAAATTAGTGCAGTTATTGTTTTGAATACAATGAGTGTACACTTATACAATATACATTATATTGGTCTCACAGGTCATATATGTTACTAGAAAAAGAAAAAATTAGAAAAGAAATGAAAAAAGTATAAAAACATAAAATAAAAAAATGCAATTTTGCGGAAGTCGCTGATGTTGCCGCCACCCGGTCATTTTGGGTCAACTTCCCACTGCTGTATCTCGGTAAGTACTGATCAGAAATTTTTTTTGTTGTTTTATTATCTTCACAAAAATATTATCTTTAATTCTGTAAGAAAAAATAATTTTTTTTTTTTTTCCAAAATTTCTTGGACACTTGGGCACCCCTTCAGATTTTGGCTTTGGACCCTGAAAGTGTTAAGGGTATTGATTCAAGAAAAATTTCCAAAATATCAAAGCTACCTATATAAAAAAAATTTGTTTTGTTTATTTTATCATTTCTTTATTTGAGCAGGACTGAAGAGATCAAGAGTAAGGTGTATGGATTTGCTCTCAGTAGTTGGCCTAACCGTGCTGTATGTTGTGCCTGTATTTCTGTACTTATTATGGCCAACCTTGAAGCTGAGTCTCTCAGAATAGTCTTAACTTCTGCATTTCTCGTAAGTTAACTTTTATCGAGTTTTTAACATCTCATAATGATGAATACATGTATTTAGCAATATTTTGGCAGTTATATTTATGGCTTTTGTTTTACTTTGACAAAGTACATTGCTGCAATAGTATTATTATTATTGTGTATGCGGTGGAACCCCAGATTTCAGCCGTAATCCGTTCTAGAAGGTCAGTCTAAATCCAAAAAGGCCGAAAACAGAAATAATATTTCCCATAAGGATTAATGTAAACACAATTAATCTGTTCTAGACACCCAAAAATCTTCTTCTTCTTTCAACAAACCGACCATATCCCACTGAGGCAGGGTGGCCCAAAAAGAAAAATGAAAGCTTCTCTTTTTAAATTTAGTAATTTGTACAGGAGAAGGGGTTACTAGCCCCTTGCTCCCGGCATTTTAGTTGCCTCCTACAACACGCATGGCTTACAGAGGAAGAATTCTGTTCCACTTCCCCATGGAGATAAGAGGAAATAAACAAGAATAAGAACTAGAAAGAAAATAGAAGAAAACCCAGAGGTGTGTGTATATATATGCTTGTACACGTATGTGTAGTGTGACCTAAGTGTAAGACGTACCTGAAATCTTGCATGTTCATGAGACAGAAAAAAGGACACCAGCAATCCTACCATCATGTAAAACAATTATAGGCTTTCGTTTTACACTCACTTGGCAGGACGGTAGTACCTCCCTGGGTGGTTGCTGTCTACCAACCTACTACCTGCAACACCCAAAAATATTAACAAAAAATACATTTTTTAAAGGTTAACTAAAGTTTTAAATACAGAAAACAATGAGAAATAAATACAGAGCACAAATTTTAATGATAAATGAACATTACATACCATAATGACATGGAAAGCATATAAATCTATAGGGGAAGGAAGGCGGGGTAGGGGTCGTCCTCGAAAGGGTTGGAGAGAGGGGGTAAAGGAGGTTTTGTGGGTAAGGGGCTTGGACTTCCAGCAAGCGTGCATGAGCGTGTTAGATAGGAGTGAATGGAGACGAATGGTACTTGGGACCTGACGATCTGTTGGAGTGTGAGCAGGGTAATATTTAGTGAAGGGATTCAGGGAAACCGGTTATTTTCATATAGTCGGACTTGAGTCCTGGAAATGGGAAGTACAATGCCTGCACTTTAAAGGAGGGGTTTGGGATATTGGCAGTTTGGAGGGATATGTTGTGTATCTTTATATGTGTATGCTTCTAGACTGTTGTATTCTGAGCACCTCTGCAAAAACAGTGATAATGTGCGAGTGTGGTGAAAGTGTTGAATGATGATGAAAGTATTTTCTTTTTGGGGATTTTCTTTCTTTTTTGGGTCACCCTGCCTCGGTGGGAGACGGCCGACTTGTTGAAAAAAAAAAAAAAAAAAAATACCATTATTGAAGACTCTTATTGGCATATTGAAGAAGGCAAGGAGGGGAGAGGGAGATGGGGGTTATTGTTTGGAAGGGGAGTCCCACTCCTTAAGGACTTCAGGTATCAAGTCCCTGTCTGGGGTTATTTCCCTTCTTTGTCTTTTAGTGACACTAGGACCAGCTTGAGAGTCACTGCACCCCTGTCGCACAAAAAAAAAAAACTGTCCAGAGAGGTCTGTTTCTGGCATCTTTTTAAGATTAGCCTGAAGTGGGACAAGGTTTTGTCACTAAACATACAAATACAAATACTAGCAGCTTGTTTGAGCTTGGTCAGGGTGATATTTCTCCACAAAACTTTGCACCTCCTTCCACTTTGCACAAATCTCCTTAATCGCTGAATAGGCACCTTCTTCCCTCTCTCTTCCTCCTCCTCCTCTGAACCAATTTCCTCAGTTGTGGTCTGTTGCTGTTGCAGATGAAGGTCTTGCAGCTCTTCAGTAGTTAGCTCTTTCCTGTCATCCTCCACCAACTCTTCCACATCCTCGCCACTCACCTTCAACCCCATGGACTTCCAAGACACAATAGAGTCCACAACAGGCAGAGGGTCGACAGGGTCAGGGTCAGCCTCAAACCCTTCAAAATCCTTGTCGAGGACACATTCTGGCCACAATTTTCTCCAAGCTGAGTTCAAAGTCCTGGAAGTCACATCCTGCCAAGCCATACCCATAAGGCTTATGCAATGGGTCAATTTAGTGTCCAAGGTCACTTCAAAGCACCTTTGAAACATTGCTTTCATGTAGAGTTTTTTTAAGTTAGAAATGACCTGCTGGTCCATGGACTGGATGAGAGGAGTGGTGTTAGGAGGCAAGAACTTCACTTTTATAAAACTTAACTCCAAAGACAATTGGTCTACCGAGTTTGGAGGATGAGCAGGAGCATTGTCCAGTACCAGGAGGCACTTAAGTGGCAATTTATTTTCCAGGAGGTATTTTTTCACACTCAGACCAAACACTTCATGGACTCAGTCAATGAAAATTTGCCTTGTGACCCATGCCTTATTATTAACTTTCCACAACACACACAATTTACTCCTGACATCATTATTTTTCTTGAACACTCGGGGATTTTCAGAGTGATACACCAATAAAGGCTTCACTTTGAAATCCCCACTAGCGTTACCACAGAACAACCGAGTATACCTATCCTTCATAGGCTTGTGTCCTGGCAGTGCCTTTTCCTCCTGCGTGATTTAGGTCCTCTTTGGCATTTTCTTCTAAAAGAGAACTGTTTCGTCACAATTGAACACTTGTTGGGGATGAATCCTTCAGCCTCTATGTACTCCTTGAATTCATGCATGAATCCTTTGGCCGCATGTTTGTCTGAACTTGCAGCCTTGCCATGCCTTACAACACTGCATATGCCACTACGCTTCCTAAATTTACTAACAGCAGCACTCGTTCCAGGCATTTTATTCATGAGATCCACATGCAACTGCCTTGCCTGTTCACAAATGATCGACTCTACAACACTATCTCCCGCTAACTGTTTATTGTTGATCCACACCAACAATAACTTCTCTACATCTTTGATTATTTGTGATCTTTGTTTCATTTGCATATTTACTCCTTTTGCAACATTAGCTTCCTTGATTTCTACTTTCTTTGCCAGGATGGAAGTAATTGTTGATTTGGATTTGCCATACATCCTGGCAAGCTGGAGCGCACGTACACCACTTTCATACTTTGCTACAATTTCTTTCTTGAATTCTATCGTGTTTCTCGCTTTCTTTACCAAAGGGCTGGCACTAGGAACTTTCTTTGGGCCCATGGTGGCTTATTTCGCAGTCGCACTCAATAAACAACCACAAAAAATAATGGATTATAACAAAATGTTTGGATGAATGCTTGGAGTGTTGCTCACTCACTGAAAGACATAGCCAGACTGACTCATGCACGCGGTGGAGTGGCGAGCAGACGTGTCCAATACGGCCCATTTGCTAGTTGCCAGCCAAAATCCAGGATGGAATTTCGACCAAAAAAGTGGCCAAAATCCGATTTGGCCGATATCCGCACCGGCCAATATCCGGGGGTCTACTGTATTATATAATGTATGTATAATATACTGTAGAATATGTTTGTCTTAGTGTGTTTAAACCTGAAAATATTACAGATTTTAAACGTGTGATCTTTTGTTTTTATTGTGGGTATAATTGAGTGTTCTCCATGGGGAAGTGGAACAGAATTCTTCCTCTGTGGGCCATGCATGTCTTAAGAGGCAACTAAAATGCCAGGACCAAGGGGCTAGTAACCCCTTCTCCTGTATACATTACTAAATTTAAAGAGAAACTTTAGTTTTTCTTTTTAGGTCACCCTGCCTTGGTGGGATACAGCTGGTTTGTTGAAAAAAAAATACTCATTATTTACTCTGTGGTAATTGACTGAGGTTTCATAAAAGTTGATTAGGTTTGTTACCACACCAGTTATCTTCAATCAAGAGCTTTACATATTGTTTTATTATTAATGTTTTTATCATGCTAATTTAAGCTTCACTTTTGTGCACGGTTTTATTCACCTGGTATTTTTTATTCCTTAGATCTATCCAGTACGAAGAGCTTTGTGTGCTATGCTAACAACAGAGAAGAGAAAGGGACATGAAGCTCTCATTGAAGCAGAACTCAGAGGCATTCTTCAACAACTTTGTTTAACTGAAACTAGAGCTGAGGCTGCAGCAGCTTTATTAGAAATGCTTGAAAACTGTGTCATCCTCTCTGTTGCAAACCATCTAGTCAGTGAACAGGGAACACTTGAACCAAGTGAATTGTTTGAGCTCTCACTTCCCCTAAACACTGTGGTAGACAAGATGGGTATCATTTTCTCACAAGAAATTTCTCAGAAACACATGCACATTATGATGGATGGTATGAAATTGTGTGTTGAGCTGTCTTTAATTTATAACCTTCCTTGGCCAGTGAAGCTTTTGACTAAAGTAGCAGAGTCAAATCAGTGGTTACTTTTCCTTGTTATGGTACAGGTTTTTAATTGCCCAAAACATGAAGTACTGAAAGTGGCAGAATTTTTCCAAAGTACTGCATTAAAAGAACACATTATGTTTGCCCTTACCCACATGTACTACTATCGTGAACCCCATCAGTCAAGAGAGAGAACAAAAGGAACTGGTCAGAGTAGATCAGCTCTGTATGCAAAAATTGGAATTCACAGCAGAGAAGGCTCACAGTCCCCAGTGCACAGTGGGGATGAAAAGCAGAGAAGTTCTAGTCCAAGTGATGGTGAAATATCCATTATTGATGATGCTCTCTCATGTATTACAACAGAAACCTCTTGTGATGTAGGGCTTGATTACTGGTTATCATATGAGCCAAAAGATTTTTATTCAATATTGCTAACGTGTCATCAGCGTGAAAATCCTGCGAATGACTTAGTTACAGCAGCAGTTACATTAAGGGCTCCTGTATTGGCTGTGTTTGCTGCTTGCTATAAGAAGCACAATCCTTCACTTTGCCTCTCCGTGTGGTTATATACACAACTCTCACAGCAAGCTCGCCACACATTGCATCAGCAACTGGCACAGAGTGAAGTTCACCAAGCAACAAGCCATAACAGTTTAAAGAATGAAAGAGCTAATCTTCCAGGGAGATTTTGCTGCCATGCTTGTGATGTTTGTGTGATGCAGTCTGGACTTGAAGAGCAAAATTGGTTCATCCTTTATCATGTTTCAGAAGGATCATTTGATGTTCCTATTGAAGGTCTTAGGGTGTTTGAGCCACATTCACCAATTCTCCCTCTTCTACAAGCTATCCAAGAAGTGAAGGGAATGTGCAATAAGGAAAAAATAAGTGAATTGCTTTCTGCTTCTGCCACTGCCATAAATGAATCTCCAGTAGAACAATATACATCAGTTAGTAAGAGAGAATGGGTAATGAGGACTGCTCTTGATGTTATTAGTACAGTACTTGATACCTTCATAACAAACAACCATTTACAATGTCAGCTACTGTCTGTACTCACAACTGTCAGTCAACTGCCTCCATTTTGCAATCATTTTGTAAATTGGAATTTGGTAAGTCAGATCTGCAAAATTGTAGGATCAGTTAAACATCAAATAACTTTCAAAGAACTGCTCTGGAGTTTTGAAAATGGGGAAGTAAATGATATTACCAACAAGATAGTAACATGTCTGTGTAATAAATGGCACTTTACTGAAGCCCTTCAACTGTGCCAACTAACAAATCTTCCTGTGTTTACTATTATTTGTGCTCAATTGAAAGCCGAGTTTGATAAGAATGCATCAAGTATCATAAAAGATATTTTTGTGTTCAAAGAATTCCTGTGTAGAAGTCAGAAGAAGCTGTGCCAAGAATCTGTGCCTTCACAGCATGCAGCAGCATTCTTCATTGCCATAAATAAAGAGCTTTCATCCTGTACTATGAAGTGTATCTGTCTGCAGTATGCTTTAATGTGGTCTTACAAAATTCCTGAAAACATTGCTTTCAGCACCTCTGAATCCCCAGATAGTAACTCGAATGTACCTGAGGAATTGCAGACAACAAGAGAGGCAGTTTTGGTTTTATCTAAGCTGGAACATGAGATGTGGCAAGCATATGTTCATGCTTTTCATTGCAGAGGAGGAAGTATTTCTGATCTCCCAATTAAACCACCAAGTGATCTTGGCAACTGGCCCTGGGAAGGAAAAGATGGGGCCAGTCCACTTGATCTGGGTCTTGTAATGAAATCATCTGGTCTGACAGATTCCTTTGTAGTAAAATATTTTGGAGACATATTCACATCATCTTCAGGTGATATTGAAGAGGTTGATGACAAAGGCTCTGTAGATAGCATAAGAAATGAAGAAACAAAGAATGTAGATACATTCAGCCAAAGCTCAAATATTAAAAGAACAATGACTGAAATGCTGTACCCTGAGAGAATACAGAGTGATCAAACTACTTTTCAGGAACAAGAGAAAGATCAGATGCAGCATGAGCAGGTATGTGTTGATCAACCAGGTACACTGAAGATGAAGATTGAGCAAATTTGTCTTGATGAAGCAGCCAAAGAGAAAGTGCTGTATGAAGAAACAAATGGTGAGGAATTAAACAAAGAGAAGGTGGAACATGAAGCAAATGGTAAGAAATTGGATGAAGAGAAAATGGAGAATGATGAAGCATGTACTGTGAAACTGGACAAAGAGAAGATGGAAGAAGATGAAGCATATCTTCAGGAACCAGACAAAGAGAAGATGGAGCAAGAAACAAGTGATGATAAACTGGACAAAGAGAAAGTTGAGAATGAAGGAGCAGCTACTTTGAGAGTGGACAGAGAGAGAGAGGTAGACAGAGAGAGAGAGGTAGACAGAGAGATGAAACATGCAGAGGCATATATTGAGGAACCAGACAAAGAGAAGATGCATGTCAAGCGAACATATATTAAAGAACAATGCAAAGAGATACCACATTCTGAAAAAACACATGATGAAGAAACAGGGAAAGATAGGATGCAGTATGAAGACGTCTGTGATGGAGAACCACACATAGAAGAGATACAGTGTAAAGAAGTATACAGTGATCAACCAGAAACAAGACAAAATAGTAAAAATTATCAGGAAAAATGGAAAACTATTCAGTGCTTGGTAAACAAATGTGTAAACACTGGAATGCTTATTACTGCTTGTCGGATACTGAGGCTTTTTGAAGGAACAAACAAGGTTTGTGTCATAGTATTTGCTATAAATATTGTTGGGAATTGGATCTGTGCTCCAGTTCCCCGAATTAAGCCTGAATGCCTTCCACATCCCCCCCAGGCGCTGTATAATCCTACGTGTTTAGTGCTTCCCCTTGATTATAATAATAATAATATAAATATTGTTGGAAGATACAGTACTCTGTGTGTATATAAATAAACAACTTTACAAAGTTGACCAAAGATTTTCTTCGAGTTCCTCAGGAAGCAATGAAATTCACTGACCAGCTTTTCTAAATGGTTGTCGTGTCATGGTTTCAGATGCTGACTGTAAAGTTGTTTCTTAGATTACCACTTCTGATCTCCTGGTTTGCTACTTCTGCATGTTTAGTATTTAGTTTTAAATTATTCCCTCTGCTCTTGATAAATTGATACTCTCCTAGATTTATTTTTTTAATTTTACATCCACTGATATCAGTCTTTAGGGACATTTTCTATATTTCAGAGTAAATATGATGGATGTAAAATACCAATGACTTTTTTCTTCTTCCACATCAACATCATTCTCAGACTTTAATTTAGCATTGTCCTTTGTAATATTTTTACTCTTTTTTTTTTGTTTCTTCTCCTTCCCCTAATATCTTTTGAAACCATATTATACCCTTTTCTGTTACTTGTATATACATATTTACTAGTTTTTTTTTTTTTTTTTTTTTTTTTTTTTTTTTTTTTTTTTTTTTTTTTTTTTTTCAACAAGTCGGCCGTCTCCCACCGAGGCAGGGTGACCCAAAAAAGAAAGAAAATCCCCAAAAAGAAAATACTTTCATCATCATTCAACCTTTCACCACACTCGCACATTATCACTGTTTTTGCAGAGGTGCTCAGAATACAACAGTCTAGAAGCATACACATATAAAGATACACAACATATCCCTCCAAACTGCCAAATATCCCAAACCCCTCCTTTAAAGTGCAGGCATTGTACTTCCCATTTCCAGGACTCAAGTCCGACTATTTTGAAAATAACCGGTTTCCCTGAATCCCTTCACTAAATATTACCCTGCTCACACTCCAACAGATCGTCAGGTCCCAAGTACCATTCGTCTCCATTCATCCTATCTAACACGCTCACGCACGCTTGCTGGAAGTCCAAGCCCCTTACCCACAAAACCTCCTTTACCCCCTCTCTCCAACCCTTTCGAGGACGACCCCTACCCCGCCTTCCTTCCCCTATAGATTTATATGCTTTCCATGTCATTCTACTTTGATCCATTCTCTCTAAATGACCAAACCACCTCAACAACCCCTCTTCTGCCCTCTGACTAATACTTTTATTAACTCCACACCTTCTCCTAATTTCCACACTCCGAATTTTCTGCATAATATTTACACCACACATTGCCCTTAACAGGACATCTCCACTGCCTCCAACCGTCTCCTCGCTGCTGCATTTACCACCCAAGCTTCACACCCATATAGAGTGTTGGTACTACTATACTTTCATACATTCCTTCTTTGCCTCCATAGATAACGTTTTTTGACTCCACATATACCTCAACGCACCACTCACCTTTTTTCCCTCATCAATTCTATGATTAACCTCATCCTTCATAAATCCATCCGCCGACACGTCAACTCCCAAGTATCTGAAAACATTCACTTCTTCCATACTCCTCCTCCCAATTTGATATCCAATTTTTCTTTATCTAAATCATTTGACACCCTCATCACCTTACTCTTTTCTATGTTCACTTTCAACTTTCTACCTTTACACACATCCCAAACTCATTCCACTAACCTTTGCAATTTTTCTTTAGAATCTCCCATAAGCACAGTATCATCAGCAAAAAGTAACTGTGTCAATTCCCATTTTGAATTTGATTCCCCATAATTTAATCCCACCCTCTCCCAAACACCCTAGCATTTACTTCCTTAACAACCCCATCTATAAATATATTAAACAACCATGGTGACATTACACATCCCTGTCTAAGACCTACTTTTACCGGGAAATAGTCTCCCTCTCTTCTACACACCCTAACCTGAGCCTCACTATCTTCATAAAAACTCTTTACAGCATTTAATAACTTACCACCTATTCATATACTTGCAACATCTGCCACATTGCTCCTCTATCCACTCTATCATATGCCTTTTCTAAATCCATAAATGCAATAAAAACTTCCCTACCTTTATCTAAAATACTGTTCACATATATGCTTCAATGTAAACACTTGATCTACACATCCCCTACCCACTCTGAAACCTCCTTGCTCATCCGCAATCCTACATTCTGTCTTACCTCTAATTCTTTCAATTATAACCCTACCGTACACTTTTCCTGGTATACTCAGTAAGCTTATTCCTCTATAATTTTTACAGTCTCTTTTGTCCCCTTTCCTTTATATAAAGGGACTATACATGCTCTCCGCCAATCCCTAGGTACCTTCCCTCTTTCATACATTTATTGAACAAAAGTACCAACCACTCCAACACTATATCCCCCCTGCTTTTAACATTTCTGTCATGATCCCATCAGTACCAGCTGCTTTACCCCCTTTCATTTTACGTAATGCCTCACGTACCTCCCCCACACTTACATTCTGCTCTTCTTCACTCCTAAAAGATGGTATACCTCCTGACCAGTGCATGAAATTACTGCCTCTGTTTCTTCCTTAACATTTAAAAGTTCCTCAAAATATTCTCGCCATCTACTAATACCTCCATCTCCCCATCTACTAACTCCCCTACTCTGTTTTTAACTGACAAATCCATATTTTCCTTGGCTTTCTTAACTTGTTTAACTCCAAATTTTTTCTTATTTTCCTTAAAATTTCTTGACAGTGCCTCTCTCCACTCTATCATCTGCTCTCCTTTTGCACTCTCTCACCACTCTCTTTACCTTTCTTTTACTCTCCATATATCTGCTCTTCTTATAACACTTCTGCTTTGTAAAAACCTCTCATAAGCTACCTTTTTCTCTTTTATCACACCCTTTACTTCATCATTCCACCAATCACCCTCTTTCCTCCTGCACCCACCCTCCTATAACCACAAACTTCTGCCCACATTCTAATACTGCATTTTTAAAACTATTCCAACCCTCTTCAACCCCCCCATTACTCATCTTTGCACTATCCCACCTTTCTGCCAATAAGTCGCTTATATCTCGCCCGAACTTCCTCCTCCCTTAGTTTATACACTTTCACCTCCCTCTTACTTGTTGTTGCCACCTTCCTCTTTTCCCATCTACCTCTTACTCTAACTGTAGCTACAACTAAATAATGATCCGATATATCAGTTGCCCCTCTATAAACATGTACATCCTGGAGCCTACCCATCAACCTTTTATCCACCAATACATAATCTAATAAACTACTTTCATTACGTGCTACATCATACCTTGTATATTTATTTATCCTCTTTTTCATAAAATATGTATTACTTATTACCAAATTTCTTTCTACACATAGCTCAATTAAAGGCTCCCCATTTACATTTACCCCTGGCACCCCAAATTTACCTACTACTCCCTCCATAACATTTTTACCCACTTTAGCATTGAAATCCCCAACCACCATTACTCTCACACCAAATTATCTTTTTGTTTACTGTTCAAAAGTTGATAATGATACATTTCAGTATAAACCAAATTGCTTATTACTCAAGTAAAGAAGAGACAGTTACTGAACAAGATTTTTGGGGATAATGTTTCAGTGTGTTAAGATCTTAACAGAATGAAATTTTGTCACAAGAAAAGTTTGTCATACATAGTGTCTTTTCTTCACAGTTGTTAGCAGCAGCAAACCATTTAAATCCAAATTGTTGCTTAAGTTCAAGGGAACAAAATTTATTATAATTTAAAACAGATAGCTCTCTTTATTTAAGTCATACAGATAGAAACTTTGTTCTAGAAAATTAAAAGCTTGCATGATTAAGCATTTATTAATATATTGAAGATTAAAGGTTGCAATACTGAAAAGCTGTTACATGTTTCCTCTCATTAGTGTGGGTTATTTGTGAATTAATATATTTTCTGTGTGTAAAGTTAAATGCTTACTGAAATCATTAACCTTTAAAAAATATATTTGTTGGTGTCCTTGCCTCTCTACTTCTCACTGTCTACCCTCTCTTTTTAATTCTCCTGTGTAGTACTATATGACCCTTACAAGTTTAAGTTAATAATAATTGTTCAGTATATTTATAGCTGGGGTTGTAAGATAAGTGAATGCTTGGGTGTTGGCAAGAGCTGTGGGATTAAGAGATAAAGAATCTAACACAAAGTGGGAGTTGCCACAGTTGCTTTTTATTGATGACACTGTGCTTTTGGGAGATTCTGAAGAGAAGTTGCTGAGGTTGGTGAATGAGTTAGAAGGATGTGTAAAAGAAGAAAATTAAAAGTGAATGTAGAAAAGAGCAAGGTGATGAGAATAACAAAAAATTTAGGTAATGAAATATTGAATATCAGATTGGAGGGAGGTAGTATGAAGGAAGTGAATGTATTCAGATATTTGGGAGTGGACTTCTCAGCAGATGTGTCTATGAAAGTTGAGGTGAATCATAGAATTGATGAGGGAAAAAATGGTGAGTGGACCACTGTGGAGTCTGCAGAGACAATGAACATTATTCATAGAAGCAAAGAGGGGAATGTACGAGTGTATAGTTGTACCAACACTCTTATGGGTGTGAAGCATAGGTAGTGAATGTTGCAAAGAGGAGAAGGCTGGAGGCAGAGATGTCGTGTCTGAGGGCTATGTGTGGTGTGAATATAATTAGAAGGAGGTGCGGGTTTTCTAAAAGTATTATCCAGAGGGCAGAGCAAGGGTTGTTGAGGTGGTTTGGACATTTAGAGAAGATAGAACAAAATAGAATAATTTGAAGGGTATATAAATCTGTACTTAAAGGAAGGCAGGGTAGGGGTCATCCTAGGACAGGTTGGAGGGAGGGGGTAAAGGAGGTTTTGTGTGCAAGGGGCTTGGACTTCCAGGAAGTGTGCATGAGTGTGTTAGGAGTGAGTAGAGACGAATGGTTTTTATGACGATGTGCTGTTGGAGTGTGAGCAAGGTAACATTTATGAAGGAATTCAGGAAATCTGCTTAGCCAGACTTGAGTCCTGGAGGTGGGAAATATAGTGCCTGTACTCTAAAGGAGGGGTGTTGATATGTTGTAAAAATGTTGGTAGAATTACCGACACTATGTTAGGTAAAAGGACACAAGTGCAACTAATGTGACATTTTATTGTAATAACGTTTTGCTCTCCAGGAGCTCCTGGAGAACAAAACGTTGCCACAATAAAATGTCACAGTAATTGCATTTGTGTCCTTTTACCTAACATGTTGATATGTTGCAGTTTTTTAAACTGTAATATAGGCACACATTGTATCTGCATTGCGATTCAGTGTTCTGCAAGACTTTAAAAGTTAATAATTGGAAATTATTTTTCCTAAAAGGATATTGAGTTGCCATAGTATTAGCATAAATACTTCACCTTTACATTAATGTATTTAATAAATTGTGTGATTTCAGAATGTACAGTTACTATTACTGTTGCTTGGAATGGCTGATGGCAGTAAAATTAAACCATTGGGAGGTGAGAAGAATGGTAGGGCAGCATTAAGAAAAATGCCACCTTATCAAAATGCAACTAAACAAGAGTGTATGATAAGTATGTTACACATATAGAGTTTACAGATATTTCATAACGTTAAATGTGATGTTTGTTCTGCCAGTGTACTGGACTTACATTTGTAAAATATATATAAGTGATGGTTTGCTCTTTGTTTATGCTGTACATTTCACTTACAGGTAGAAGTAAAGTTGGTAGCAGCTTTTGTAAGATATCACTTGAGGAAGACCTTGGAGTGAAAACATCAGCCTTGATCAAAGTTGCATCAGGTAAAATATATAGTGCTGCTGTTGTGCCAGCAGCACTTTAGTATAGTAAGCAAGCCACAATATTGTGGCTGCAACATCTCACGACTAACCCACAAATTGGTGTGATCTCTCCTGGATTATTACCATGTTGTGAGTGAAATGATAATTGTCTAGGACAAATGGAAATGAAGTACAATGCCTGCACTTTAAAGGAGGGGGTTTGGGATATTGGCTGTTTGGAGTGACATTTAAACTGTCACATCTGAGTACCAATGTAAGGACAGTGATTGTGTGTGAATGATGGCGAAAGTGTTTCTTTCTTTTTTGGATCACCCTGCCTCGATGGGAAATGGCCATGTTGAAAAAAAAGAAAGATTGAAATGTCATCTTGTTTTATTTCCAACTTGTGGGTTAGCTGTGAAAAGATTTACACCTTCAAGAAGAGTACCCTGATGGCAATGATGAGCTTATGACCCAAAGAATTTGAGCAAATCTCCTTTTTCTTGTATTGAATTGATTGCTTCCTATTCCTTAGGTGCTGTGTGGCTCCTATGGTTTTAGTGCTTCCCCATGAAAATAATCATGAAACTGAAAATGTTTATTTCCTTGCAAAGCTTACAATGTGTGGTTTACATATTATAAAATATTAATTACAAAGAAGGCCTCTAGTATTCCTAGGCATTTCAGGCAGACTAATCCTAATTCTCACTCTGTATTGACAGGTGATGAAGTAGTACATTTTAATATTCCTTAATTGCAATCTCATATAAAAGTTAGGTAACTGAAGTGATTAATTAGATTTATACTAATGAGGTGGTGCAAAACATATAACAATATTACAGTTAGTAAATTTAGTAATGAGAATGGTTATGTCTTGGCATGATACACTGTTTCTATTAAAGTCCTATATTGGGAGAGTATCTTAGGGAAACTTAGGACTAACTTAAGGTTTATTAGGCAATAGCTATACAGTGGAACCTCTACTTGCGAGTTTAATCCATTCCATGACCTTGCTCGCAACTGGATTTGCTCGTTTGCAGAGTCAATTTTCCTCATTTAACCCTTTGACTGTTTTGGTCGCATATATACATGTACGTCTTACGAGCCAGTGTTTCAGACGTATATATATACTCAATAATTCTAGCGGCTTCAAATCAAGCGGAAGAAAGCTGGTAGGCCCACATGTGAGAGAATGGGTCTGTGTGGTCAGTGTGTACCACATAAAAAAATCCTGCAGCGCACAGTGCGTAATGAGAAAAAAAAAACTTATCGTTTTTTTGGATTAAAACGCCGACTTTGAGGTGTATTTTCGTATAGTATTTATCGATATATTTGCGTTTTCATGGTCTTAGGTGATAAAATGGAAAACATATTACAGAAATAGAGATGATTTTTATTACTTTGACGATGAAAACGACCTTGAAACTGAGCTCAAAGTAGCGGAAATGTTCAATTTTTACCAATGTTCAGGAGTAAACAAATCACACGACACGTCCAATACACGTCAACTGGGGAGTCTAATATTCTTTTACTAGTGCACTGATATTATTTATACCATTTTTACAATAATGCAGTAGTCTGCATAACAGTAAATTTTGTATTTTTTTGTATGAATAAAAAATTTAAATAGAAAGCAATAATAATATAAGAGGGGCCTAGAGATGTGACTAATGAACAGAGGATATGTTATTTTAGTGCCAAGAATGTCTACCTTGTTTATTGTGGACCCTATTTTGAAATTGGCATCTTTTTTAGTTTGCATGAAATTGGCCAAATTGCTAATTTCTGACCACTTTATTGGGTAGTCCAAATTGGTAAATGGGAGGTTTCTTGTACTCAGCTGATAGATAAAATGGAGTTCTAAAGAAATAGCTATGAGTTTGGTAAACTGGAACAAAGGAATTGGCTGAAAATAGGGCTCAAAGTCGGCGAAATCGCCGAAACGCATATGTCGCCGAGACCGCTAACTTTGCGGGAGCGTAATTCCATGAGTTTTTGACCAAATTTCGAACTTTTGGTGTCATTACCATCGGGAAAAGATTCTCTATCATTTCATAAGAAAAAATAATTTTTTTTTTTTTCAAAAATTTAGCGACATAGAATGACAGTTTCAGGAAGGGGCCTGAAACAGTCAAAGGGTTAAATTAACTGAAATGCAATTAATCCGTTCCATTGGAATTCTGTACTCCAATAATTTCACTAATATCAACTCTACGGCTTATTTATCTATCTCACTTCATCTAATATGACATAATAAACAATATAAATAATATAGAAACCTGATATATACTCTAAAATGAATAAAATATGTCATTCATGCAGTGGTATGGGCAGTGTCGGCGGTGGACGAGGGTTTGTCTGCAGACCGGGCAAAATACTTCATGAATAATTTCGCTAATATCATCTATACGGCTTATTTATCTATCACAGTTCATCTAATATGACATAACAAACAATCTAAATAACAAAAAACATGATATATTCTCTAGAATGAATAAAATATGTCATACGTGTAGTTGTATGGGCGGTGTCGGCGGTGGACCAGTTTATCTGGAGACCGGGCAAAGTACTTAATGAATAATTTCGCTAATATCATCTATACGGCTTATTTATATATCACAGTTCATCTAATATGACACAACAAACAATATAAATAACATAGAAACATGATATATACTCTAGAATGAATAAAATAAGTCATTATGTAACAGGTGGAGGCGGCCACAACCGCCCCCTCTTTGTTGTGGTAAACACTGCCATCTAGTGATGTCCTTTTGAAGCCGCTTATTATTATAATTATTATATGTAGTCATTTCTTCTTCTTTCAACATACCAGCCGTATCCCACCGAGGTGGGGTGGCCCAAAAAGAAAAACAAAAGTTTCTCTTTTTAAATTTAGGAATTTATACAGGAGAAGGGGTTACTGGCCCCGTGCTCCCAGCATTTTAGTCACCTCTTACAACACGCATGGCTTACGGAGGAAGAATTCTGCTCCACTTCTCCATGGAGATAAGAAATAAACAAGAACAAGAACTAGAAAGAAAATACCAGAAAACCCAGAGGGGTGTATGTAGTATATACAGTAAGGCCCCGCTTTATGGCGTTTCATCTTACGGCATTCCACTAATACGGCGATGTCAAATTATGACCAAAATTTGCTTTACGGCAAGCGGTCTTTCAAATACCGAGTTTGTTTACATTTTCCGTGACCACATCTATTATGTCAGGAAACTTTCCAAAATTTCAAGTGTTTTAAAGTTACTGCATATTTTATATGTACTGTACTCTGATAATTATACTTATGTGTACCTGTACCTAAATATACTTACTGTGCTGGTGTGCAGGTACACATTAAAATCGCTAAGTCTCTCTCTACTCATGACGCCAATATGTACTACATAATAATAATCACTCTTGGGCACACTAAATGTCTTATTTTACATCAATACATAGGCATTTTCATATATCCATCTATGATATTTTCCTCAAAATTATATATGAAACCCCTTACATAGCATATAAACATGATACATACACTCACAGAATAAAAATTGATGTAAATATGATATTTGTTTACAAAGCAGCTGTGTAGGTAGTGTCGGAAGAATTACATTTTCTCTAGTCAAACTGGGGGATAACTGTAGAAAAATATTCTTTTCGTATGCCTTTATATATAGTTGACCATGACTTGCTCCACGTGAAATTGTCACACTATGGTATAAGAGGGCACTCCCTCAACTACCTCAAGTCATACCTCAGCAACAGAAGCCAATATGTGTACGCAAATGGGGCAAACTCTTCTGTGCAACCAATTACAGTTGGTGTCCCACAGGGAAGTGTCCTTGGCCCTCTTCTCTTTCTCCTATACATAAATGACCTTCCAAATGCTTCGCAATTACTCAAACCCACACTATTTGCAGATGACACTACATACGTCTTCTCTCACCCGAGCCCAGTCACGCTAGCCAATACTGTAAATACCGAATTACAGAAAATATCTACCTGGATGAGGACTAACAAACCTACACTAAACATTGACAAAACCTACTTCATTCAGTTTGGTAACAGAGCTACAGATGTCCCTCTTAACATAATGATAAACGGATCACCTATCACAAAGCTAACAGAGGGAAAATTCTTAGGAATCCACCTTGATAATAGACTCAAATTTCATACACATATACAACAAATTTCTAAGAAAATTTCCAAGACTGTAGGCATACTATCGAAGATACGGTACTATGTTCCACAGTCAGCCCTCCTGGCCCTATATCACTCTCTTATTTACCCCTATCTCACCTATGGAATTTGTACATGGGGCTCAACAACAATTAACCATCTCAGACCACTAATTACCCAACAAAAGGCTGCAGTTAGAATGATAACAAATTCTCACTACAGGCAGCACACTCCACCAATATTCAATACACTAAACCTACTCACCATACAAAACATCCATACTTATTACTGCACCTATTACATACATAGAACACTTAACTCTGATATTAACCCTCCCCTCAAACATCTCCTTGCCAACCTCAACAGAACACATGACCATAACACAAGGCACAGATCACTCTTTGATGTTCCTCGTGTCCATCTCACACTATGCAAAAACTCAATGCACATAAAAGGCCCTAAAATCTGGAATTCATTACCTGTAAATATAAAAGAAACACTACCTGTTTATAAATTCAAGTCTCTTCTCAAAGATCACTTACTCACCCAAAACCAAATAAATACTGAATAACTGAACCTTATAAATTGTATATCTTAAATGTTTCTCACAATTATATCATATAAATGTTAAACCTAAAACCCAATCTAACTTTATTATTTTTTAAATACACTACCTAACAGAATACTCCATACGACTGAATGTACAACAATGCATGCAACCATATGACCTGTCTTTGTAATACTTATTTGTGCTTTATAGTTATCTGTTTACAATAATGTATTATCACTGATTTCATCATTGCTTAGTTAATTTTAAGCCAGCCCGTAATGCTATGCATAGT